AGAAACATCTTTGGTTTGCTTAGTGTTCAGGGGAAAAAATAATTGGTGGGGCCTCATATGTGCATCAAATGGAGCACCGGAACACACGGATTGCCTAGTCACGAGCACTTACTAATCCCTCCCTTCTTTCTGATAAAGCCCATAAGTGAATGCTTAAAAAGATAGACGAAGTTAATAAAAAGTTTATACCTATCCCCTACCGCAATAGCGTCTCCATTTGCCTTAATGGCTTGGCAACATTCCTGCTCCTAAGATCCAGTAAGAAGCCAAAACCACTCTACTTTCATTTCTACTCGCGCGCTCTTATAAAAGGGTGAGAATGGGAGACGAAGGGGTAGACACTCTTTGGGATAGGGCATTTTATTAGACCATTTCTGTCTTGGCAATCAGCAAGATTTGCCACAGTAGAGATTAAGTAGAAGAGTTCCTTACACATTTGTATGTATTGTTAGCAGAAAGCTCCTCTGTGGGCTCATCGCCTGACACATTCAAAAGTGTTTTCCTGGATGCAGAGTAGGCCAACCCTCTAGTTGACTTCGACAGCGATCATGGAAGGTTAGTAAAGGAACATAAGATTAATTTCAAATAGGTATGAAATAAATATCGGGAAGTAGATGTGGGAGACTTTGACTGGTACTGCCTCCATCCAGACTACATGCTTCGAAAATATCTTAGAGAAAATGCATGGATCTTGTGCCAGTCTGCGGATGGGTGGTCTCAGGTAGTCATCCGTCCAACTTCTCACCTACTTTCGATACTTATTAAATATACAGTCAATTGCAGAGGAGAAAGTAGGCTTATAACTTTCACTTCATGGCAAAATTTCTATTGTAACTGGAAGGCTTTGACTCAGACCAAGGTCAAAAAGCAATTCAAATAAATCAAATTTAGAGTTAAAACTATGCCTAGCTTTCAAACAGTCTGTTTTTGTTGCATTCATTTTTGTTAGGGCCTGTTATGCTACAGTTTAGTTTTGACAGCGCAGCTAAGCCTACTTCGAGTGGTCTACTCCAATGGCCTCCGAACGGAAAGCCGTCGACGTAACTAGAATGCGGCATATTTATGGAACTGAACACGAAAGTGAACTAGGAACTACTGCTAACTGAATCATGATTAAAAGCTTTACACTATCTACAAAAAGCCTACGCGACATAAGCACCCTCTGGCGAGTGTGGCGCCACCGCCACCATATGATGCTAAATAGACAACTGCACATTCTGAGACCTCTTTTGTTAGAAATTTCGATCACCACCCCTATTTCTTCTTTTCACGTTCTAGCTGTCACTATTGTCTCCTAAGCTAATTTTTGCAGAATTGATGGTCTGCATGTTGCTGCAACCTGAATAGCTGTAGACGTCACGTTGGTCCATAGGGCTTTGTGAGAATATCCTTGTTGTTAACATTCTGCAATGACCGCCCACATGTGTAATTGCCTCCGCAAGGGTCATAACAGTGGAAGAAGTTAAATGGAACCATACGAATTTGCAAATTATGCAGGTAAGTTATGTCTCGGCAACGTCTCTACTAGCTGAACGGACCTCGGATGGACAAGTGGGAGGTACAAAAATATGGACAAAGTGACAAGGTAGGTCTGCTGATTCCTAATGGGATCCGCAAGGACGACGCACCACAGTCATAAAAGGCACGATGAAGTACACCTCGAACTTTGGACTCAGCACCTTTTCCCCACTGACGAATTCAAATTGCTGTCGTTCTCGACTCACCGGCAATGTAATGGCCGATGCAGGACACTTACTAAGGGATAGACAGGATCCACTCAATAGTAAGACTCATCGCCATATTTATAATTCAGAGAGGAGATATTTCCCATGGTTAATTAAATAGGTTGAGACTAATAACAAGGGGTTAACACCGAGTCTCGACCCATTTTACTCGGATAGGCTGGAGTGAAATTCTTTGTCTGTAAAGTTGACTCTTCCAATTAAAATTTGTCTTGCAGAACATGCAATATCTAGAGTCCATAAATGGGGTCTACAGCATGTATTACCCCTCAGAGGTAGCGTTCGAACAGTCAACTGCAGTTCAAACAAAAACTCGTTATGACTAAATCAAAGGAATGACTGCAAAACTCCGATTGATAGTGCTCATTATGGTGCATATTTAAGCAGTCACATACAATGGGATGTTTTTATACCTTGTAAAATTGACTACCTGTCATGTCGTGATCCTTGGTGCTCTAGAAGAATGCTCCAAATTCTTCGTTTGGAAGGAGCATTCATGGAAGATGAGGTCGAACTTTTTGTGACTAATCACTAAATATATCTCGACTTACGCATTCACTGAATTCCTTCTGATGATTGCATACTACTTTGAGACACTCTACATGACCTAATATTCACTTCAAAGTCAATACGTTCACAAATGACCGCTTGTGTACACCTGTGGAGGGCGTGAGTGCATAAGGTCGCCATTGTGGAAGTGCCCGTGCTTACACTACTTCTTAGTAACGTGGATAGGCAATTCTTTTAAAGCGATTTGAATAGTAAGAAAAGCTGCTTGCAAGGAAAGTTGTGATTGGGGCAGTAGTGAGCCCATAAAGTTGCCCTAAATATTTATTTTATCCATACTTTGTTTAATGCAGCAAATAATATTGTATTTAAGGCAAAGAGATGGACATTCGTGTGGGGAATCTCAAGCACCTTCTTATCCTCAATTTGGGATCCTCTTTGCTATGAAGAAGTCAGGAAAGAGGGTTGTCTGTGCGAGGTTAGCGCTGACGGCCTGCTTTAATATACAACAAGACATATCAAGTGAAAAAAATATCCAACTGGCAGCATGCAAAATATCTGCCCATTTTTGGGGACAGCCTTTGTGATCATCAGTGCGGTTAATTTGAGGGTTGGTGTGCTCTGCCTCCATCACACCACTATGGCCACTTCAAAGCATTTCAGTCGCCACTTTTACGAAAGACAGCTGCACATTACTGACAAGGACAGGTAGGAAAAAAAACCATTTTTTATGCTAAACTACTGTAATAGATTTTTGATCGCAAAGACAGAAGTGGTCTAATTTACTGCTCCGTCCTGAGCGGCCGTCACTTCTCCTTCACCCACCTTCACTGTTTCCAATAAAATTGTGTAGAAATTCCAGAAAAGTTGGTCACGTTCCACGATGGCGTTTGATGGGATGATAGTAATGCGGTTTCGCTTTGTATTAAATCGCGTACTAACAGAAATTTAGCTAAAACAATTGAACAAATATTAACGCTCAAATGGAACGAAAAATGGGGTAAACTAATTCAGAACATCCTCCTAGCTTTTTTGAATTTCACTCAGGGCACTTATTAGAGAAAGGGATAGGATAAGTAAGTGCTCGTACTAAGGTTGATGGGTGCTCTTATCACTCCAACACACATCTCTCAGGAGAGGATGTTTANCCAATCTGCTACGCCTTATGTTACCTGTTTCATTCCACATCGTACTTACTGTCTACTTACTGTGCTGCGCTGGAGAAAGGCACACTTTTGTCCACAA